AGAAGACGATTCCCGAATGTGAAAGTGAAAGGGTACAGCGAAACATGTGAATAAATTATTAACATGATGTATCCTTAAAACCAGTGTTTATGTATTTTTAAATATTCAAGAATAAGCAACTTTGATTTGATTAAACTTTAAACAAATTCATGTTGAATTTTAAACATATCCACGTAAATCTGCACTGTGAGTTTCTTTTATGCATTTCAATGAGTTGATAGAGTTTTGACCCAAATGGATTTCATGTGGTTTGTGTTCCTGATTGTTTTTACATCGTCTAAATCTTGACTTTGCCGATAAAAAAAGCTCTGAATTTCCTCTGAAGTGATGAACATTTGCTTTATAGAGAACCCTGCGTTGCTTGGTTTTGCAAAAAGAAGTGAATTTGATGAATATTATTTTTGGATGAAGGTGATTGTGTTCATGCTGTGATCAAATAAACATGTTCACTACTAAAACTTTGAATGTTTGTCTTTGGATGTTACAGTTCTTACGAGAGTGTTGATGTTACATTAAAGGCACAGTGTGTAAGTTCCACCACCAGGGGGCTCTCCAGTAAAATAATAACAAACAGTAGGAGGCGCTATGGTTAAAATTGACTATTGTAATGTCTATGTGTTCAGAGGCCAACCCTGATCATACATGTGTTGGACGCAGGTGTTTGAGCTTGAAAGTGTTGTATGGCCAAGGTGTTTGAATGGTCCCCACCAATTCTGAGCGGGAAATGAGCTACCTTGTAGCAATGGCTAATGCTAACTGAGAAGCAGTAACTTCCTGTTGTCAACAGGTGGCGCTGTGACTAAGCAAAAAATGTCAATCATGGATGTGTTCAGGGTGGGCCCCGTATCATGGATGAGAAATTTTAATATGATTGAACACTGCATGACAGAGATATAACCATTTACTTTTTTGGCAAGTTGCCAAAATGCACATCAAACTTTGAACGCACGCCATAGCCACGCCCTTTGACGAAAGAACGTGCAGAACACAACGAGATATGTTGATCACTAGAACACACTGGCCGTTTTCGAAACCGCGTACTATACTACTAGTACGTACTGATTTGGCCAAAATGCAGTATGCAGTATGCAGTATGCAGTATGCAGTATGCCAAAAATACCCGGATGTCATACTGATTCGGGAAAAATCTCCAGTATGCATCGGACCAGTCTACCTCGTGTACTGACTCCCAGAATGCAAAGCGGCAGGTCAATATTTACAGTCGTAATGGCGGAGCGCAGTATTTCGACGGCGGCGGACAGTGAATATAAATGTAAGTACCAATTACCTGACAACATTTGTCATCATTTGCTTTTGTTTCATTTATTTGGTTAACATTATAATTTGGGCCCTTAACGAACGTCAAGCTGGCGTGTAATGAAGTTATGCCTGCTAACGTAATGCTAAATATCACAACGACGGCAACGCTAGCGTGCCGTCACCGTATATACACAGGCAACTTTACTATTACGCCAAACTAACGTATATTTATTACATTCATTAAGGGACAGAACAGGACACAAGAGGCCCTTATCCGTTGGTGAACTGCCAACGAAAGCCTGTTCAGTGGCCGCAGGAATGCAGCCCAAAAGGGACTTGGACGTTAAGTTATTATTGTTCTTAAGTGAGCTTAGCTGCTAGGTAAGTTCACTTGTCTACAGAAAGTAGTGTGATAAAGTTACATCTTTGGAGGTACCAGTGTTGTCATACAAATAAGCTTTTACTGTTGTGTTGTGATAGAGAGTTTGTGAAAGAGCGTTCCCTGGTGGGGAAAGTGGACAGTAAAAACATCATGAACCGTGGTGATGGGGACATCAAAGGCTCCTGACACCACCCGATACGAGGTTGCACTGGCCAGCCAGTATAAATATATCCCCACTTCGAGGTCTTTGCTCCAGCCATGGTCCTTGGTGTATCCCAGACACTCCACCAAGGCCTTCACTGTCTGCCTTGACAGACGGAAGTCTTTCTTTAGTTCTCCATCTCCCAGGTAGAGGTGGACAGTAGCACTGTGGCCATTCAATTAGAGGTATTGTCCTCACAGGCCACGCTGAGTAGGGACAGGATGTTTCAGTTGTCTGAACTTGTGTTTCCAAAGTGAAAAGTGTTTTACCATTCATGAAGTGTTTTTTGGTTACTGATATAATACTGTTGTCAGTTTGCTGTGAAATTCACTGTTTGAATTTAATTCAATGTTAAGAAATGAAGTGGTTACTAATAAACATACTTGTCACACAATAGTATTTATTGATTTATCTGAGTGTATATACCCTCAATATTTGAGGTGAGGAGCTTACATTAACTTCCTTACATAATCCCAGTTTACCCTTACAAATATTTAGTGTGTCCTATTTACATGGTCTTCATTTTGTAATAGGAATAGTAGCTTTTCTCCTTCTTGCCACATTGTGTGCATGAACCAATGACAAAAATGACATATTCCGATATTTATGTGTCTTACCACCTCAGATGTTGCTGCTTTTTCGACTGTACGATGCATGTGCCACATGTGGACAAGCTACTGCAGTTACAGGGTCCTGTGCTTGCTCTCTTATTACATATTATTCATAGCTGTGTAAAAGTTAAACCTGAATGCTTGAAAAGTATACTATAATGTTAATAGTATATTTCAGAATGTAATTAAATAAATTACTACTAATATTAGCATGCTAATCATATTTCAACCACGGGTGTTATATATAAATGACAAGATGAGAGATTGTTGACTGTTTTTTTTTAATTATGTTAATTATTTTTTTTACATGGTCGATAATCAAAGTCAGAGTAAAACACACAAACAAACTACCAATGAACAAGTTGATGAAAAGGCACCCAGTTTGATTAAAGCAGAATTACAAGAATGATGGAACGCACCCTTTGCCAGATGAATGAGATCCGTCTCCGTTAACATTTACTGCGCCCGGATGACGATCAAATACCGCTGAATTAACTTAGACCCGATGTCACAGGTAAATGTTTTTGTCCCATGTAAAATAAGGACAATCGAAATGAAGCACTTGTCAGCTTATTTCACGGCATTTACCTCCAGATGGGCCGTTTTTTACATTCCAGGACCGGAAACCGGAAACCAGTTTAACCGGGGCCAAGCATACTGCAAAATAACCGACAACTGGCAGTCATACTACATACTACTGTTGAACGCAGTATGCAGTATGCAGTATATACTGCATACTGATTTAGATAGTAGTATGTAGTACGTGGTTTCGAAAACAGCCAGGGTCTTCGATGTCAGGACTCAACCCAGACCTCAACTCAGGCCTCAGCTTCTCTGTGTTCCTGTTCCTGTTCCAGCAGAGCGCCGTCTGCGGGAGGCCCTGCCCACTCCTATGACTCCTGTGTCTCTGTGGGAGGTTCTGCCCACTCCTGTTTCTTGGTTGGAGGTCCTGCCCACTCTCGTGTCTCCATGGGAGGCCCCTCCCACTCCCGTGTCTCCTTGGGAGGCCCCTCCCACTCCCGTGTCTCCTTGGGAGGCCCCTCCCACTCTCGTGTCTCCTTGGGAGGCCCCTCCCACTCCCGTGTCTCTGTTGGAGGCCATGCCAACTTCTGTTTCCTCGTGGGAGGTCCTGCCCACTTCTGTGGCTGTTTTCGAAACCGTGTACTATAATACTAGTACATACTGATTTGGCCAAAATGCAGTATGCAGTAAAACCAGGAAGTGAAACGCTGTATGATTTCATTCTAAACAAAAAAATTTTATTCATAATATTTAGAAAATTAAAACTTTATTTGTAAAGTTCTTTGAACGGTTTACAAAGTGCAGAAGAACTCAGCATAAGAAACCAAACAACAGCTAAAAAACCACGACCGCAAAAGTTAGAACAGGACACAGTAAACAACGGAGGACGAGCAGCAGAGGTCATCACCTCCGAGGTCATCCGTTGGGTACTTAAAGCTGGTGTTTTAAGCGGTGAAGAGAACCTGATGTGTGATGTCTCTTCCTGCAGGTGGTGGGTGGATTAGACATTCACAAAAAGATGGTGGTGGACATGTGACAACCTCCTGCTCTCGCTGCGTTTACTGAAGTTCTGCTTGAAGACGACGTCCAGCACTCTGTTTGTTTTCAACAAAAGTATTTTCTCTGTGAAAAATCCCCCCCTCTCCCTCCGTCCTCACCCAACTTTTATTGACATGCAGTTGACTTACAGGTGAAATCTGTGTCTTTCTTTCAGAGATGTAACCATATTATTGAATGCATTTGTCTTACTGGAGTGTTGCATTATTTATACTTGAAGATCAGATTTTTTTAAACGACAGACGTACAAACACGCAGGAAGTGAAAGATCATTTTCCCCGTCGTCAGCACTTCTGTGTCATTAAGCTCCGAGTCCGATTTGTATTGAACACTCGGACGTTGATGTAAACATTATTTAGAGGTCACAAAGCGCTTGATGACACATTAGAAACTGAAACGGTTCGTTCAGACCAAAAGTGAAGGCGGGTTTTAAACGCGCCGAGTCACTGCAGAGAAGCCCGTTTAACTACACGCCACCTGCTTTCCTTTTTATTAACGGTAGATTAACTTCTTCATCTCTTTCATCGCTACTGCGCTCGTTATATTTGAGTCCAACTGTAAAAAAAAAATTATATATATATATATATATATATATATATATATATTGGTGAGAACCCAAAGTGATTCCAGGAGTCTAAAACCCCCAAAAAGATGATTCAAGGACCTGGTACTGATCCTAGCTAACAGGTCATCAGACTGGGACCTGGTACTGATTTTAATTGTACTATAAACCCTGTGTTAGACAGGAACCACCCAGAACCCCACGCTGCTTCTAAGAGCTGTTTAATTAAACTTGTTGAACATTTTGATTTATGTGATGTTCGGAGATATTTCAATCAGAGTCTGCATCAGTACACCTGGACGCACTGTAAAGATAACTTGTTGTCTATGGCCAGACTCGATCGTATGTATTGTTTCAGTCATAATGTTAATGTGTTCAAAAGTTGTTCCATATGTCCAGTTGGCATATCAGACCACTCTCTTGTTCAGTGTTTAGTGTTTGTTAAAGATGTTAAATGTAAGAGTGTTTCCTGAAGTGTGTTAACTTCCTCGTTTATTCCCTCTGGGTATGTGAAGGTGCAGCTCATCTCCACAGTCAATCCTTTACGGGCACAGATCCACACAGAAGAGCACGTCACATCCCAGAGATCCTGAACCGCTGAAACACAGAGCACATCAGGAACAACCATCAACATTCATAACTTTCAGAAGAAAAAATAAAAACCTCAACATATCTCAACGTCTAAAAATCATCTGATCACGATTCTATCCAACTGTAATCACTTTAAAGACTCAAAAATCTAAACAGGCTTTTTTAGAATGGGTGTGTATGTGACTAGATGTGCTTTTCTGCAGCCAGCCTCGAGTGGACACCCGAGGAACTGCAGGATTTTACACTTCAGTATCGGCTTCATGTTTGCACACGTGATGTTTGTTACAGTTTGACTTTGAGATGTGATGATCCTTTAATATTTTGTTTTAGGGGTGCCAGTCATGTCTCTCTCCTGGCATTTAAGATAAGTCAGTTGTTTTTTTGTCGTGTTAAGTTTTAGTTAAGTTTTTTGTTTAGATTATTTGAACCAAAAAAGATTGTACACAAAAAGTGTACACCCTTACATTAAATGATAAAACCCCACAAATAGAAACTCCACAACCAATGTAGGCCTAATTCAAAGCAAAATATATTGTATTTTATTAATGATCTCCGTGAACAACAATATAAACTCAAACACTCAACCCACACTAAAAAAATAACAAATACTCAACATCCCACAATCCCTCAGTCCTCACAAAGTAAAAAAGAAACAGTCCAACTCAAAATTCCACTTCGGGTTTTTACTCAGTTCCAACAAAAAATGAGGAAAAGATCTTCAGTTCAGTTTATGAAAACAAACAAAATAATATCTACCATTCAGCGAAATAAAGAAGTCAGTTTTAGCTGTATGCTGCACACGTCAGTCAGTCTGTCTAAAAGTTCAGTCCAGTACAATAAGTCCAGAATCCAGTGCTGGTCTTGGCTGCTGTGTTGAGGGATCTGACCGACTTTCGTGTTTGGATGACAGGTGAAGAGTGAAGGCGAACTATCTGTGAGGGTAATGGAGATCAGGGTGATCGGAGTTGTTGATGACGGTAGAAAATGAGACAAGGGATTATCTGCCTTGCTGATTTTCGAACGTGCTTTTTAGCATGTTTTTTTCTACGATCTTTCTGTCACTCTCAGCTCTCCTCTCCTGCTGCCCTCTGTACTGCTCAGCCCGACTGAATGAAATACAGAGGCGCGAACAGTGAGCGAGTAGCCAGAGGGAAGTGGGTGTGAATGTAGCCGATTTGGGGGTGTAAACTTGTGGTGAAAACAACAGAGTGTCCAGAGAGTCACATGTCGTTGCTTGGTTGGTAGGTAGAATTAGCTTCATATCATTGTATTTAATGATGAGTGTTTCACTGTATTAGAGAGAATCTGAGAACAAACTCTGCTTTAGAACAAATACTGCAGGGGTAAAGTCTGAGAGCATAAATAATAAAACACATTTTAATTTGTGGTATCTAAGAGTGATAAGCAGACTTGGTTTTTGGTATATGTCAAGAAAAAGAGGTGACCTTCCTTTTAGACGTGAAAACGGATGATTCAAACTAAAGTCAGAAAACGACTTCATGTGTGGAGACGTCACATCACAGAATACGAAACATTGTTTGTAGTATTTCTGAGAGTAACAGGGATCCTGAAACACAAAGTGCAGAACAAAGCACTAGTGTTGTAGTACTCCAAATCAGTCTTGGTCTCAGGACCACTTTTTGAAGGTCTCGGTCTCTGACTGGGCGGACTCAGGATTTCAAATAAAGACCGGTCAAGACCACCACTGATCGGCTATTTCTCCACGTTATCACTGAGATCAGAAGGAAAACGCGTCTTTTAAGTGAGGGACACGCCCCCTGCACTCAAGATGAGGATTTGTCAGTGATATTTATGGTCTTGGTCTTTGTCTTGTCTCGGTCTCACCCTGCCTTGGTCTTTGTCTTGGTCTTGTCTCTGAGCACTCTGGTGTCGGTACATGTGGTCTGGACTATAACACTACAAAGCGTGTAAGGAGCAGCTTTGTCCCTGCAGCCATTATAGAGCAGAACAAGTCAGCGAGACAGCAGACTGGGGAAGCTGATGTCATGCTTCTAAATGGTTAATCTATTTATTATCTATTTTAATTGTTTAGACTCTGTAACTTTTAGAAGAAGATATACTTTATTAATCCAGCGAGGCGAAATTACATTTTTATGCTCTACTGAAACACACACACACACACACACACAAGCACAAACAGGATACTGTGGTCATGCACTGATGGAGAGATGTCAGAGTGAGGGGGGGGAGTTGGAGGGGGAGGGGCACATCGGCAGTGCTCAGGAAGTGTACTGGCACCTCTCAGACTACTAGACCAATTATCAGACTTGCTCTGCACCAGGACTTGAACCAGCGACCCTCCGTTCCCCAACCCAAGTCCTAAAAGACTCAAAGCTCTTTTACACTGCAGGTCACACCAACACATTCACACGCTGATGGTAGAGGCTGCTGAGTAAAGAGTCCATCAGTATTAACTCATCCATTCATACACATTCATACGCTGATGGTAGAGGCTGCTGAGTAAAGAGTCCATCAGTATTAACTCATCCATTCATACACATTCATACGCTGATGGTAGAGGCCGCTGAGTAAAGAGTCCGTCAGTATTAACTCATCCATTCATACACATTCATACGCCCTCGACCTTCCGGTTAAGAAACGACCGACTCTACCACTGAGCCACAGCAGACCCTCTTACAGATCAACTTGTCCATCATGAGTTCGATTGGAACCTACACATTTATGCACTTCTGCACTTCTACCCGTGTACCGAGCATTTGCACTTCCTGTTCTATGTTTTGTCCGTGCGTTATTAAGTTTATTTGACTTTCCCTGCAACCAGATTTACCTACAGGTACAAATAAAGTCACCTGTATCTGATCCACTTTTCACACAGATGACCTTCAGTCTGTATTAATCAGTCCCACATTTTATGAAGGTAGATATGTTGTAAAATAGGAGAGTTTGTAGAATGTGATGTGAGCTTCAAGGAAAAAAAAGTGAACTTGTATGTAAAAATGTTTTGCAACACATTTTGCGAGACGTCTGTAGCAAAACAAATTTGTACTTGTTGCAATGCCCCCTCCCCCTAGTTGTAGTTTGTGATTGTGGTGAATATATAAACTGCATTCACTGGAAATTTACTTCTGATTGGCCAATTCCCCCCACACACAGACACACAGCGAGGGGAGGGGGGCATTTCTACAAGTACACATTTGTTTTGCACACATCACATTTTACAAGCTCACATCACATTCTACAAGCTCTCACGTCACATTCTACAAGCTCTCCTATTTTGCAACATATCTACCTTCATACACATTTCCTCTTTTTTTAATGAAGTGAATGAAAGTGTAGACATGACGTACCTGACACAGAGTGGAGGACGACGATAAACCAACTCACTGCTCTGATTAAACTCATCGCTGCTCCTCTCATCTCTCGTTGTGACTTTAAGGAAGATAAAAGATGTTAGCAGGTAGAATAATCAGAACACAGCAGCACTCAAACATTAGTAGACATGTTGAGGAATCATTCTACTTACATGTGAAGAAGAGTAACGTCTGAAAGACGACTCTCCTCTGCAGGCAGTGAGCGGACGACAGATATCAGAGTGTTTTTAATAACTACACTTCCTTCCTCTTTACATGATTAATATATTTGATAAGACAAACACCAGGAAGAACGTCACAGATAACCCAACATGTCTTCTTTCCTAACACAACTTAAACCCTAAACAAAGTGATTACTGTCCAAGTGTCAGACCTTTGGGTGAATGCATTAGTTTAGAAAAAGTCAGCCAACATATACACTCATGCAGAGTCGAACAAAAATATGAGATGTGATGCACAAAGATTCACAAAATTATACATTTTTTATTTGCTATATGCATTAAAAACACAATTCAAGATATTTCCAGCCCGACCGGGTTCTTCATCAGCTGCTGTATGGTACATAATAACACCTGAACCTCCATCCATCTATACCACTTTTGGTTGCGGGGGCCTGGAGCTGATCTGAGCATCATTGGTGGAGAGGCGGGGTTACACCTCTCACCTCGTCTCGTCTCGTCCCACGCTGCACGCTGCACGCCTTTATCCCTCGTGCTGCCATGAAGCGTTTTTAATGATATCAAGAGAAAACACTAGTAGAGAAAAGTAGAGAAAAAGATGTGAAGGAGGTCAATGAAAGTCTGAAGAGGAAGAGAAAGCGCCATCTTTAATGAGTTCTCTGAAAACCTGACTTTTAGTGACAGATGAAGTGAAGAGGAAAAAACAACACATTGAGATTTACAGTGACCTCTCATGTTTCTGTGTTCTCCTTTCAGCCACACGGGGGCGGTGTTGATCCAGGCGGAATTTTAATGTATTGGATGGATCCGTTTAAGATGACTCAGCAGTTTAACATGACGTCACCTTCAGAGAGGAAGAATACAAATATAGTCAGATATAAATATCAATTAAATATATTTGTCTGATATATTTGAATGTTTCACACTCAGGTAACATTAATAACTGAAGTAAATACATGATAATTTAATTACCACAATTATTATTATAACTATTACTGCATAGTAATAATATTAACACAGAATCTAATAAAATAAAATAAACAAAAGAAATGGTTGTAAAACTAAACTTTTATCAAAGCTTAATACAGGTAGAAGAGCAAAAGCGTAAAAATATATTTATTTCATTATTATTATTATTTTTTTTTTAATTTATGTTGTTAAATTAAATTAAATTAAAAAAATATATATTTAACCTAATTTTCTATTATTTTATTTATTTGTAGTTATATTTTTTAAATTAATTTATTAAATTGAATTATTTTAAATTTATATTCTATTTTACAAATTATTTATTACATTTGTTTTTGTTTTATTCTGTTATTATGTTTTAACTTAAATGTGTTTTATTTTGTAGTATTTTGTTTCGTGTTTCATGTTATTTTATTATTTATTAATTTATGGATTTAAACATTTTAAAACTATTATTTGAGTCGAGTTAGACTATCATGGTAGGCGGGATCTGCTCATGTTATTGACAGGCATCTCGGACCAATAGGCGTCATTCTTTGTGGCTACGTCACTCGCTGTCAGTTGTTTGGTGTCGCTCGTGCTGCCTGCAGACAGCAGCTAAGCCGGCTGTCAGCTGGAGAAGCTAGCAGCAGGAGGAGGAAACTTTCAACCTTTTAAACCGACTTTTTGATTCTGAACTCGGGTCCTAGCATGCATGGGCTCACATGACACCATGAGATTAAGGGTTGTTCATCGTCCTGGAACAGAAGTTTAAAGTGATCGTCTTGTCTTCATTTACAAACTATTGTTTCTTATTTTGTGACGTTTCATCGGCTTGCATCTTTTACAGGATGATAGTTCACTCAGACAACTCACATTTGTATTTGTTTAAGACATTTATTGCTGCTTATAGTGCTTTCACACTTGCAGAAACCTCCTGATATTTACACAAGGAGCTGCATGTGTGAATGCAAACAGCCACATTTTTCGCTTGGACTTCACCTGGAGTTTCTCCTGCCAGACGCCTGGTATTTTTTACACAGTGAGTCCGAGTGAGCTGAAGTGAGAGCGCAGCAGGATATTCTCCAGAGAATTCACCTCGAGCCAATAGGTGGGGGGGAGTGACGTTTATATACTGTGACTACTGCACGGTGCATAGACTGTATACTGTATAGATTCAGGTGTGCAGAGATTTTTTTCAACATTTTTCTACAAAGTTTTGAGACAAACATTTGCTAAAACACATCAAACTGATTTTTCAGTTTTTGCTCATCTGGCCTCCGCAATATTTCAGCTTTTTTGACGAGGCTATTTCATGAAGCAATAACTCTCTTAGGGTCATATTTGGACAGAGCAAAAACAAAATGGGACTCAGATTCTACAACATCCATAGTGTGTGACCATCTGTCTAAAATGTTGTCTAACAAACTTGATCCCCTACAATATGCCTATAAAGCAAAACGTGGTGTAGAGGATGCAAGTCTCACAATTTTAGACACTGTCACCAAACACTTTGACTCTGCACATCCCCACACTAGGATTCTATTCGTGGATGTCTCCTCTGCTTTTAGTACTGTACACACAGACACTCTGTTGCGCCGCCTCTGGGACCTTCATGTCCACCCAACACTGGTTTTATGGATTAAGAGTTTTTTACATGAAAGACTACAACAGGTGTTTTTAAATGGTTTTAATTCCAGTAAATTGGTTTTAAACACAGGTCTTCCCCAGGGTTGTGTTTTATCTCCCTTTCTCTTCTCGGTTTACACAAACAACATCTCCTACAACAGTGAAGGAATGACACTTTTTAAGTATGCAGATGACATGGCCCTGGTTGCGCAACTGACTGACACCACTGCCCTGACTCAATACCAGCAGGCAGTCAACAACCTGGTCCAGACAATTGGAGAAGACTCACTGGAGCTCAACATCACAAAGGCTAAGGAGTTGTGCTGTGGGGGCAGAGGGAAAATCACCATCACCTCTCTTCCAACCACTCACAATCCAGGGTCAGCTTGTAGAGCAGGTTCTTTCTTTTAAATATCTGGGAACAGAGATTGACATCTGTCTCTCCTTTTCACAGCATGCTGACTCTGTCTACAAGAAATCACAACAGAGACTCCACCTGATGAGGAAACTGAGGACTTCTAATGTCAGCAAACACATTTTAACTCTGGTTTACCAATCACTTATTGAATCCATCCTCACTTTTAACATCTCATCCTGGTACAACTCCTTCACCACCAAATACAAAACCAAACTCTCCCGCATCGTTAATCAGGCCAGCAAAATTATCGGTTCACCACAAACTACCCTCTCCGAACTGTATAATCGCTGCCATCAGGCAGACGCTACAAAGTCCCTCTGGCCCGGAAAAACATCTACAAAAAATCCTTCATTCCCTCTGCAATAACCATTCTGAACAAAATCAAATAGACCCCCCTTTTTAGAAACTGTTGTTTTTAAGTCCTCTTTTAACCCAGTGCACTTTCTGATTTTAATGTAAGTTGTGTTTATTGTTCGAGCCTTGTCGAAGGAGAATTTCTGTCTCTGTTGGGACAGACAATAAAGTATATCTATCTATCAAATCAGACAACTTAGAAAGTCCAGAATCTTGAAAGTGACACATTATCCTCCTTTTCAACAAGTTTAATAAAAGCTCCCCGAATCATCTCTGTGAAGTTTCCACTGATCCTAATAATAATAACAATAATAATAATGATAATAATAATTAAAGTTTATTTATAAAGCACTTATCAAAACCAACATCAGAAAGTGTTTTACAGAAAAAAGAAAAATCCCAACAGTCAAATACATAAAAATAAAATCCTATTAAAAAAGCATGAAAAATAAAACAACAGCGCAGCAATCATCCAATGAACAGAGAAAAGAGAAACAACCGAGACAGAGATTGGCAATTTCAGTTTTGTCAGCGTTTAATTTGAGATATTTCCTGTGAAATATAAAACCCTGCTGTAAGTATTTAAAACTCATTGAACTCAAACCACGCCCCTCTGCATGAGGGCACCTCAGTGAAGCCCAGCTTTGTAAAGAGCCTGTGGGAGGGCGTGTTCCCCTCCTGAATGAAGGTGTACACAGGGTACCCCTCAGCATGGAGCCTCCTCGCCATGCTGCAGATCAGGACTTTGGCATAACCTTTCCCTCTATGCCCGGCAGCGTGTACAGCATGCCCATGGAGCATTTATTATACCCCAGGATCCAGGACACGGGCTGACCTTCGTCATCCAGCACGCAGCAGGAGGGGAAGTTTAGGATCATGTTTCTAATCAGAACGAGAGCCCGATCGCTCTTTGAAAACTTCCACGTCTGATTCACCAAGCTGATGTGCGACTCGTCCAGAGAGCTGAGTGACATCCCCGAGCTGAAGAAGAACAGAGCAGATTAAAGCTGAGCTCAGGCTGAGGAGAAACTAATCTGACTGGTCTTTTTGAGGGAACGGTTTCGAAGTCTAGAGCTGCTGCTGCTGCCAGGACACAATAAATTCACATTGTTTTCATGATTTCTTGGTGATATTTCCTTGAAAGAGAAAAAAAATGTTACGCATCCAACCTTACAGTCACTACGGAGGGAAGCAGAAGTAACATTTCTCTCAACCTAGCAACAATGAACGAATCAAGCACCAGAGTAGGTTTGTGACCCTGTATAAACCAGCTCTCTCAGAACGGTCTGTTTTGGTGTGTGTGTCTCTTTAAATGCAATGACCCCCCCCCATAAAATTTAAGATATGGTCCTCAAAAACCTCAAAATACCAAATTTATCGGGTCGGGATTAAAACGAAGAGAGACAACACCCCCCGATCCTCCGGTAGCCTAGGACTGATTAAATGTAAATAATGATTTTGTAAAGGAATCGCTGCATGAATAGACTCTCACCTGTCTATATCAGGAAGGCTGGAAACATCCTGCAGGAACATCAATCGACACACGTGCTGCTCACGGCCCGGGGCTTCTTTTTCTGACGCCACTGATTTAAATATTTCCGTGTAGCCTTGATCAAATCCTTGGACAGAGTCGTGAAGATATTGATTACATTCATGAGACACAGAAACTGAAAAATGTTGTTGAAGGTGCTTGGTTCTGTGTTT